CATGTTGTGACTTAGTCTTATTTTCACCTCCCCCAGCTCCCCACATCACCCCTAAATCCTCCCTTCCACAAGCCACCTCTGCACCGACTCATGGAGGAGTCACGCCATTCCAGACTCTCCCCTTAGCTTGGGGTCTCTCTGCAGCTCCTTTAACACTCTGTAGCGTTGGGAATCAGCCAGGCATCCAGGCCCAGCTCACCATCTCCCATCCCTGCATTTCCCTTGAACCACTTTAGCTCTGATGAACCTCCAAGGCCACACGGGCTTGACTCCTGAAGCTTGGATTCCCTCATACTGGGGACTAGTTCCTGCATACCACCCTCTCATAACTTTGCGGGGCTTTGAGCGTGGGGGCCAAATTCACCACACTACTTCCCACAACAGTGAGGTCTCCCAAGGCTTAACCTACTCACTCACTCAACAAGCACCCACACCCCCACACCCAGTGTGGGCCCTGCAGGCCTCGCCTGTGCTAGGTTGGAGAAAGAAAGGCGAGTGGTGGTGGTCCTGAAGAGGCTCAAGGCCTCCCACCTTGTTAGATGAAATGGGAGGGTAGAGGAGTCCACCTCGCTCACAGGTTGTCAGTGAAGACGTCTTGGAGGAGATAATCCAACCCCACATGCAAAGGAGATATGAGTTTAGCAGGTGTGTGTGTGGTTGGGGGTGGGGGTGGGCTGGGAAGTGGTGTTGTAGGCAGAGGCTGCGTCTGTGCAAGAAACTGAGGAACATGCTGGAGTTGCAGGTGCGGGGGCCTGGCCTGGGGCTGGTGGGAAGAAGGGTTTGGACAGGTGTGAAGGCCTGAGAAGTGTGCAGGGCTCAGCCCTCTTGCGTTGCTCTGCTAAGGACTAGGAGGTGGCCCTGATGCCCTGGCGAGCCAGCTGGCAGCCATGCACAGAGCCCACAGAGATCAGCTCTTCATCTACAAAGGGCCCTCAGCGAGAATGAACAGTAAACAAGAGGAGGCCACCCTGGAGGTCACATGCTGCTGGCTACTGACGAGGCGGAAGACCACCCCACGCGTCCTTCCCAGGGCTGGCCCCGGCACTCCTTCGCCTGATCTCACCTCGTGTCTCTGGCTCGCCTCTTCCATCAGCCCTTTTCCCTACAGACAGGTCTACAAAATCATCCAGTGTCCCAACCACAGCCTTCCCCTAATCGATGGCAGGCGGGAGGGCCGCGGAGGCCTGGGTCCCTGTGTTTCGCCGCCAGTCCCTCACCTGGATGACTGGCCTGTGCGGAGGGGTGGGATGTGGTTGCAGGTAGGCTCTGAAGAAGGGGAAGTGATCGTACTGGCTCATCAGAAGGCTGAGCGTTCGGTTGAAGTCTAAGGGGGTCCAGTTCCCGGAGATCTGCCAGCCTCCCAGCTGGGAAGGAGAGAGGCAGGGCGGAGGGTGAGCTGTGGTGGCCACGCTTTCTCGCTTTCCCAGGCAGCTGCCGCTCCCTGACTTCCCGTGTTCCTCCAGGGCTCCCCACCACCTCTTCCCCCAGCCTCGCCCAAAGTCCTAAGACGTCCACAAAGCGTCGCCTTGACCAGCTCCCTCCTAGAGACTGGGGGTCCCTAGGGAAGAGACACACCCTCTAGGTGAAAAACAGCTGCCTACGGCCCTCCCTGGTGGTGCAGCGGGTTAAAGTGCAGCATTGAGAAGCTAAAGCCACTTCCGCATGAGTTCGATTCCCGCCTGCCCCGGAGGTGACCACAGGGCGTGGCAGACCTCTCCTGACCCGCCCGCTGCTCCCCTCAGCAGTGTACTTCATAGATCTGCCTGTTCTGCTCCCCACTCTGTCTCTGGTGAAGCCTCTCGCCGCCCCTGAGCCTCTGGCCTGTTCTGTATGCACAAATCAATAAATCTTTTTTTTTTAAAAAAAAAAAAAAGAAAAACAGCCGCCTACGTTGGCCTGTGTGTCACGAATCCACAAAGGCCGTGGCCCCAGGCCTCACCTCCTGGATAACTTGTCTGAGGGGACCGGCCCCTGCAGCCTCGATGGCACGCGTGTCCATGCAGGAGTTGTAGAACTGGAAGGCTTTCTCCTCCCCAGAGCCTGGGGGCCAGGAGCCCGGGGCCTCTGGAAAGGAAGCAAGGAAAACGGGCGAGCAAGCTGAGAAGAGGGGCCTGGGTAGGGGGGGGGGGAGCCTCGTGCGGAAATGGGGGGAGGGAAGGGGAGGAACAGAGCTGCGAAGGGAATGTGCAAGATGGCAAGATGTGGGGACTGGGCCAACGACAGAAGAGTGACAGCAAAGGGAGTAAGGTGGGCCGCAGGGGGGAGGGGAAGTAGCGGGGAGCAGGAAACGCAGGGGTTCGGGGTGAGTGGACAAAATGAAGAATGATGTAAAATATATACATACGTGTGTGTGTGTAGTTGCAGAAATTGTAAGTACCTTTTTAAAAAATTAACTGAAACTCAATTCTTTGATTATCATAACATGCCGCTCACGGCCCGTGATTGCTGCCCCCCCTCCCACCTTGCCCCCCTGGGAGTTCTTCGGTTCTGTGACGGCTTTGCAAGGCCCAAGCACAGCTTTGCACGGCTCGGCCTTGACTGGAAGGACGGCCGCCCCCCGCCCCCCGCCCCCCCCAAGCAGGAGGGCAGGGGCAGGTGCCACAAAGTCTGCTGCTCTGAGCACAGCGTGGTCGCCTGACACTCGAGTAGGCCTGTCGCTGACATCCTCGTTCCCAGGTGCTCCGGTGCCTCCCCCAGACCTCCCTGGTCCTCGGGTGCTTTCTCCACAGCCACCAGGGACGGGATTCTTCTGTCCCCCCAACCACATCTTTTCCGCCTGCCCCCGGCTCAGGGAGAGCCCCCTACCGCTGCTCACCCGGCTCCTGGCTCAGCCATACTCCCCCTTACCCCGCTCCTCCACTCCACCCCGCCCAGGGTCTCCTGAGGACAGGAGAGGCCATGGGTGTGAAGCGTGACGGAGTGGAGGGCAGCGCGACATGGGGGTGTGGGGGACCCGGAGGGCTGGGAGGCTGAAGGGGTGATGGACAGAGCGAAGGGCGGAAGGCAGGGGCTGGCAGGGGCGGACGCCGGTCATCTGACAGGACCAGGAGACCCCGGGAGACAACAGAGGAGATGGGGCTTGGCAGGAGAGAGGAGGGAGAGGATCACGGAGGAGAGAGGGGAGTCGGGCAATAGAAGAGGGGGCCAGGCCCAGTCAAGGTGGTGGAGAGGGCGCCTCAAGGTGAAACGTGCAAGCAGGGTGGCAGCCTGCTCAGGGAGAGGGGGCCTTGTCCTGGGCCCGGGGGCCTTACCCAGGATCCTCCGAAGTCGCCCTTTGTTCGCCTCTGTCAGAGCCTGAAAAGAGCTGCTGTCCCCTTTAGCCTTCCCACAGGCGAAGCTGAAGAAGTCAGAGCAGGGGGCCACGGTGGTGTTCCCAGAGGCCAGATAGCCCGCCAGGAGATCCCAGCACCGCGGCGTCTCACAGAGGCCTGTGGGGAGAAGAGCGACAGGGCGCCCCCCAGGGGCGGGGCAGGAATGCCTGGTGAGGGGGAAGGGTCTGCGGGTGGGTCCCGGCCCTGGGACATGCGGGGAGCCGGCTGCAGTGAGGTGGGGGCGCCGGCCCGGCGCCTGTCCCACAGGTCAGGCGCCGAGGACTGGGGAGCGCGCCGGGCGGGGAGATTGCGGGGTACTGCTTACGAGGCCCGCAGCCGCGGAAGACGTAGACGGAAAGCACGAAGGAGCCGAGGAGCAGGCCCGAGAGCAGAGCAGCCAAGAGCGCCCGCCTGACCAGGGCCCCCCATCCTCGTCCTCGCCATCCAGTGGGCGGCCCCTCCTCTGGAGATCTCTGCCCGAGGAGAAACACGACTCGGAGGGGGTCCACAGAGGGGGTGGGGGAGGGGCGAGAATGAATAAGGGGTGTCCAGCCCCCTGCGCAGAGACCTTCACCCCAGCCCAGGGAGGAGAGGGAGTCAGGCCGCAGCCTGTCTGGGCCAGGAGAGTGAGCTGACAGCCGGAAGGGAAGGGCTGCCACAGCGGGGCCAGGGAGCCCACTTACCTCCTGGCTGCAGAGAGCCCCCATTCCACAGGCCAGGCCAGTCCTCACAGGCCTCCACCCTCCTGACCCGAGAGAGGGGGAGGGAGGAGAGAGAAGCTATTCAGGAAGGGGGATGTTAGGCCCTGTCAGGCCATCCCGACAGCTCCCTCCCACGACCCCCAAAGGGTCTCAGAAGGAGCCTGTTCCCTGGATCCCTGCCATCCTCCTGGGGAACTCGCCCCTCCCGCCCTGTTTCTGCCTCTCTTGTGGGGGCCTGGCATTTGCATACAGCAGCCACCCCACCCCATGCCACCCCACCCTGGGCATCTCACCCCACAGCGTCTTCCCCAGGGGACGAGCAGTCTCTGACCGGCAGGCTGTTCTCTCTGGCTCCTGGTTCTGCTCCAGGAGCGGAGTCTGAGGACTGGGGTTCCGGAGATGGCCTCCCTCCCTCCGCCACCCCAGTTCCTTTGGCCTGGAGGAGGGCACGGCTGCCACTCGACCCCAGTCCCCAGACAGGCCGTGGCCTCTGGGTGGAGCCTGTCTATCAGTCAGAAGACACCCAGGCCTCTCCTTTATCTCAGCTCCTCAGGGGGCCATGGGGAGGGAGTCTGCTCCCCCAGCAATCCTGCCCTTGGTGGCTCCTCAGGCCCTGCTCTGTGCCTTTGCTCATGGACTTCCTTAGTTCTTCCTCTCCTGCCTTGGAAGACTGAAACTCTCAATTGCTCCCTTACCCAGGATGTCTCTCAGCTGCTGGTCACGCCCAGGCTGGGTACAGGCAGAGCAGAGCATGGGAAAGGCCAGCAGGCCAGGCGCCCCGACGGGCTGTCACCAGGTCAGTGAGAACACAGGAGCCACCGCCATGCCACTCTCAGTCAGGGGGGCAAGTCTTGTCCGCTGGGAATTGCGTCCTGCCTACTCTGGGGACGCAGCCCTCCTGCAGAGGGATGAGGCAGCATTGGCCCTTCTAAACCCTGCTCCACAGGTAGCATCGCCAGCTCCTGCTGATGCCAGGAGTCAGCGGCAGGCACCGTGGGGACGGCATCCCTGTGTCCCTCACCACCAAAGAGGCTTCACGAATACTTGTAGGAACGAGCTACACAGCGCTGCCCCACCTTCCTGACTCCCCCTGGGGCCCCGTGTGTGTGCTTCCCCATTCTAAGCAGTAGGGGATTCACTAGGAATGTCCCACAGACGCATCAAGAGACAGGGACAGAAACATTTCCGGGAAGAAAATAAAATTATGGAACGGGATGGAATGGTGGGTACTGGGGGAGGGGACAGTCACATATGAGCTTCAGGTTACCTCTGGACTGCCAGGAGGAGAGTGATGCCAGCCACAGAAAGCAGTGGGTGAGGGGTCCGCCAGGAGCAGACCAGGAGTCTAGAATTCCGGGTCTGTTTGGATCTTGTTTCCTCCATCATCTTCCCTGCCCAGAAAGGCCACCTGCGTAGCCGTGAGAGCCCAGCTTCCTCCTCACCTCTCCCCGAGCAGTCAAGCCCTGTGGGCTGGCATTACTCTAGGAAAAAGACAGTAGGGACAACCGAGATGAGTTTTGATTGATAAGTTGACTCCCTGCTGGGGTTTTCCTATTTTATCTTAGGAGATAATTTAAACAAGTTACAGCTAGAATGGATTAAGAAGCCTAAAATATTCTGCCCAAATGAAAGCAAGCTGGAGCCCATTTGCTCCAGTCTGACATGGCACATTTATCCTGGAAGCAGCTCCTGTGGCTGGGGTTAGGTGACCCTACTGGAGAGGCGGAGCTGACCGCAGCGGCTTGTCAGGTTCACCTCCTTGGCCTGCAGCAATGTGAAGGCAAAGTAACCTCTGTTCTGGGAGCTGCCTTGGGAGCACACCTCGCCTTATCTGCCTGTCCTACTCCGCAGTGAGTCACCGCCATGGCCATGCCCTGTCATGCATGTCTGCAGCTCTGTCGTCAACGCTGAGCTGTGCAGAGAGCCTCAGCTACAACGCAGGTCACGGGCAGCACACATTTACGTGCACAGATACTGCCTCCTGGCTGCCTTCATGGTTGTGTACAGTGAATCTAGCTCCAGGATCTTTTGTTTGCTACCATCACAGCATCATCACCATCGTCATCATGACCGTCGTCGTCACCATCATCACCAGGATCGTCTATCTACCTATCACTATCTAGCAACTTTTTACTGTGTAATTCTCTTGTGCCAGGGATGATACTGTAAGAGCTTTGCTTATAGGCTTCCCCACTCAGTCCACACAGTAATTCATCAAGGGAGGTAAAGAGCTACCATCTCCCCACATTAACAGATGAGAACATAGAGACATGCAGTGAACAGGCCCAGAGTGAGAAAGACAGGAGTTCTCAGAGCTGCAACTGTATAGAAGCCTAAACCACTAAGATTCTGGTTTGGGAAGGTCTCCTCCCGGTCAGAACTTCTTTTGCCTTCCCTCTGTAAGATGGTCTTCACTGCTTTGTCTTGTTCCGTGACTGTCTCGGGAGCTGTTTTTCTTCAACTCTGAAATATTCAATTCCACCTTTTGAAGATTGTTTTCTTTATAGTCGCTCCAAAATCAGCTGCCATCTACAGTAGTTAAGGTACCAAAACCAAGGCTGGCAAATTTATCTCCATGCTGTAACCCTCTCTGGTATGTCACATTAGCGGCAATTCATGTCTAAGATCACCAGATTTCAGTGATAACTAAAGAGCTTTCTCCTAAGGAGCAGGACATACTGTTCTGGACAAACCAGAGTGAGTCTCAATGTCATGGGAACTGCTGGGGAATTTGACAAAGGACGGGCTTGGGTACATTCTCAGTGGTTTTTAAAAGACAGGCCACTGAGAGCTAGGGATCACTGATCACCTTTGGGAAAGAAGAATTGATACGTTCAGTATTCCATAAAGAGGTTTTTTAAGTGAGTGAAGTGACAAGCAGACAGATATTAGAATTTTCACTTCCATATACACTTTTTCCTTGACAGCTATAAGACTAAGACAAAAGTAGCCTATGTAATCCCTTTCATTCAATCAGTAAGTCAACCAACAATATAGCCCACAAATAGCTAAACCAAAAAACTGAGCTCACAGATTCAGAAAACAGGTTAGAGGTTGCCAGAGGGGGGAATGGGAGTGGGGTGAAGTGGGTAAAAGGGGTCAAAAGATACAAACTGGGCCCTCCCTGGTGGCGCAGCGGGTTAAAGCACTGCACTGAGAAGCTAAAGCCACTTCCTCATGAGTTCGATTCCCGCCTGCCCCGGAGGAGTCCACATGGCGTGGCAGACCTCTCCTAACCCGCCCACTGCTCCCCTCAGCAGTGTACTTCGTCCATCTGCCTGTTCTGCTCCCCACTCTGTCTCTGGTGAATCCTCTCGCCCTCCGCATCTCTGGCCTGTACCCCAGTTCTGTATGAATAAATAAATAAATCTTAAAAAAAAAAAAAAACTCATGTTTAAAAAGATACAAACTGCCAGTTATAAAGTAAGTCAGTCATGGGAATGTCATGTACAGCAGGATGTCTACAGTCAATAAATAATAACAGTAGTATGTTTTGAAGTTGCTAAAAGAGCAGATCTTGCAAGTGCTCATCACAAGGAAAACAAAACTGTAACTGAGGAGATGGACATTAACTAGACTTGTGGTGGTGATCATTTCACAATATATATATAAATATCAAATCATCACGTTGTTAAAGGTAATACTCACAGACTGAAGTCTGATACGTGTGCATGCTGACACATCTCAAAGTGAGGATGCTGTGTTTTATTTTTCCTGTGCTACCACTCCCTTCTTCCAAACAACTTTCCAGGACAATCTACTCAACCCAGCATGACACATGCTAATTTAATGTCTGTGTCCGCAAGAAGAATTTGCCTACAATCTCGCTATGTCCACTGTCTTAGTCAACTACAGGCATCATAAAGTCTTGCAACAAACTGCTGCGAACTCAGTGGTTATGAAAAGAATCAGTTATTCTCATGTTCCAAAGTCTGTGTGTTGAGAGCTGCTCAGTGCATGCAGGCTGTGCTGGTATGCACTTCAGACTGCCTCTGTGTGGGTTTGGATCTAGGACTTGTATTCATGCCGGTCTGCCATGGGATTGTCTGTTCTGGGGCCCAGGCTGAAGGGGGAGAGGCTGAGCAAGTCATGTTTTCCCAGAAAGGATCACTGGAATGAAGACTCCAGCCAAGCCAAGCAAATCATTTCAAGATTCAGTTTTCATCAGGTTGACTGATTTTCCATGGGCCAAGTTAAGTCACATGGCCAACCAAGCCCAACATCAGAGGACCAGGAGAAGTGTACTTTGCTCATAGTGGGAGGGGAAGGGTAGTGACTATTTGCTCAATAATAAATCCAAACCATCACACCCACTGATTGAACACCTCACCTACTCTTTAGCTAGCGTGAGGGGTTGGGTCAACCTGTGTGGCAGCTGAAATACTGGAACCGGAATCCTACGGGACCAGTGGAAGTCTGCAAGAAGAGAAATGGCAGGAACCCAGCTGGGTAGACCCTCCCTGTGAAGATCACCGGCAGCTTTTTATAGCATGTAGTGGTAAGCCTGGAAAATCAGATGGCACTGGGTTCACGAGCCCCACATGCCTCCGGCCTGAGGGCAGCGTGGCAGTCCTGTGAACCTTTAAACCAACATTTCCATCCATGCACATGGGCATCTGACCCTGCTGTTACAGACAAATCTCCCCAAACTGTAATCATTTTCATATTGACTTTGATTATTTAACTTCTTTCCGGTTCTGCCTCTGACGCTTGAATCCCCGCCCTTTTAGGTCTGCTCTGTTCTTGATGCCATCGCTTAATTATGTGGACCAGCCATGAGAATTTGGGGTTGAACTCAGGCTGGAACTTCAACAACCAGCTGGCTCTGGTCAGCTCCGATGATCTAACTCCATACCCGCTGATCTTTATGCTCAGCTGGTGCACACCGTCAAGGGACCACATGGGGATTTGAGGAGGTGGATATCCGTTGGACACCATGAATGGGAAAACGCAAAAATCAAGGCTGAATTTAGATTCTAAGTCATTGGCAAGGGGCGTTGAGTTTAAGATGGAATGAAGCTGTTGTGGGTTGACAAGGGAAATAGGCTCTAGGAGGAGGTTTCTAACATTGGAGCAGTGTGGATTTGCATAGATGGCTATCGGCGGTGCATGGTGTCTTTGGCGTTCAAAGAATTACAGCTTTGAGCTGATGCCCTGATCCTTAAGCTAAAGCATCTGCTATGGAGAGTAATTTAATTAGTTACTTAGTGTCTTTCACCTAACAGGGAAGCTTTCTCTGAATTGAAATTGAGGTTCGCAGTCCTTAAGCTAAAACATCTGCTAGGAGTAGTACTTAATTAGCTTCTCATTGTCTTTCACCTAACAGGGAAGCTTCCTCTGAATTCAAATTGAGAGACACAGTCACATATCCATCCCGGAAAATTATTTATTCCCTCTACTGCTCCTCCCTCCTGCCCTCATTTCTTTGGTTCCCTGGACTCTTATTTAAACACACTTAAGAGAGCACAGAGCTCATATGCACAGAGCCTCATAGAGAAGTATTCCTTCCTGGTTTGTGATTTTTCTCTCTTTTGCACATTTTCAAATTTTTACCTTTTCCTGGAACCATCAAGACATACTGTTCTGGGCTTCCCTCTGCGCTCTGCCCCCAGCTACAGGTCAGTCAGAGGGTCTGCGTCTCAGGGGGTGGCACTCCCAGCCATCTCTGGTCTTCGGTGTCTGTGCTCACTTACCACTCACACCTGGTAGCCTCCGTGATCACACCTTGAGGCTCACACTTCACACTTTACAGGCAGAAATGGTGGCCCAGGGTAAAGAGAAGGGATTTTAGACAGATTGGAGTTGATCGAATCTGGGTTTTGCTACTTACTAGTCATATGATCTTGGGAAAGTCTCTCCATCCATCTGTTTCCCCAATTTCTTCATCTGTAGAACAAAATAATCCTGCCCTCTTTGATGGATGAGTGTAAGGACTAAGCAAGGCCATGGATGTGTTGTATGTTGCCTTGTATTATAGACCGACAACAAATGATAGCTATCATCACTTGGTTGTGTTTATTTATGTTGTTTCTGAGTTTCCAAGAGCAATAAAAATAGTATCAGACCATTTGTGCAGAAAAAGATAAGAGACTGTGAACCTGGTTTTTCCACTTTTGATTTGTCTCACATCTCAATGGAATATAAAATTAGGCTAAGAATTAGCTGAGAGTATTAAGACATTGGAGAATGAGGACTTCTTTACAGAGAGTTTGGGATTTCTCTTTCTCTTACCATGAATTATGTCTACCGTTCCTTTGGAACTAGGTGAGAAGATTCGAGAGAATAGCCTAGAGAGTGTGGCGTAGGAAGAAAAGTCCAGGGTCCAGGAACATATCGCAGACGGAGAAGAAGCTAACACGAAATGGCTGTGAGCTGCAATTATCAAAAAAAAGAGGAAGTTCCCCCCATGAAAACAATTTGAAGTGACTGCAGGAGGCAGCAGAAGTCTGGGAGGCAAAGAGAGACGAGTTAGAAATGGAAA